AGCAATCCACTGGAGGTGTATTATGTACTGATGACAGATCAAAAGGATGCCACGGAAATGACCCAATGCTGAAGAAGTTTGTTGTCAAAAATCAAAAATTGATCGTCGTACCGATGAAGTCGCTCCATTGTGATCAGTCATGCAGAAAGCCAGGGAAAAATCATTGACCAGTCTCCTAGTTTCCCTTTCACACTCATCTCCCTTGAAAGAATTCATTCATATAAGAACAAGTGTTTTTTATTATCCGTAATCGTTCCACATTGTTTTTGTTATGCATTTTTAGGATGCACAACAACGAGACGCTAACGATGCAGAAGCTTTAATCAATTTGGTTGTGGTCAGCCAATATTTAGGAAAAGCTCCCGAGGTGAGTAAATTCTGCTTTTTTAGCATCGGTTAGTGGAACAAGATGAGCGGACGAAATGTTTTGCTTTTCGGTACTCGATTACTGTTGACTAATTGGCAGTCATTCGGTGTTTTCGGGCGCTTTTTAGTCAGTTCTCTCATGCCGAACAAGTGTAAATGCCACATCGACATTAATAATGCAGCTCTAAGAATCATTTAGGGGCAATATGAGGCATTTCCATCTGCTTGACAGGATTGTGCGATTGTGCGTCTGTTCATCTTGTTCGTCCAAAACATTCGCATCCAAAATATTCGCTCACCGGCTTTGTCGTTATGAATACGTACATTTAAGCCATTCCAAGAGTTCGAGCTATCATGGAACTATATTTCTAGATTATGCATTCGTATTGCGCGAATGGATCTCTTATGTCATGCGGTGATTTCAGGTCACGAATCGTTACATCAGCCTAATGAAAGAGACTCATCCTGATCATCCATGGACCGTTGATTATAACGCTAAGGAGAAAATATTCGAACGATTAGCTGTTGAATCAACTGCCTAACTTATTTTTGATTATGCTTATTTGATTACATTCATATCGGTATTGTTGTTGTTCACAAGCAGATGAAATTCTTCGATGTTTACGAGAAGGAAAAACTTTTGTTTTGTTGCGGTTAATACTTGTTTGTAACACGAGAAAAATTGTTTCATTCCGATCCATTCGTTGGTTTTTTCATCGGCGTTCCCACAACTTCTATTGTTTGATGTTTCTGTAATAGTCTCGCATCATTGCACGATTCTTTTTAAACAATATGATGATTTATTGTTTGTTTAGTTGGCTCGAAGGGGAGCATTCAACATATGGGAAATGAAATTTCGGTATTTTAAAATTTGAACAGAATTTTCTTTGGGTAATGATGAACGGTAACCGAAAAGAAATGAATAAACTGAAGTTGGACTATCAGTTGATGGCTCAGTGATATAATCAGCTTTCCGGAGATGTCGATAATCTTCTATATCTTATGTATTTTTGGTCATTGTTATAATTGTGTTCAATTCATTCTAATTGAAAATGTGATAACTGTCAATGATTATAAATTGTGACTCCGTTAAACCGAAGTTATCCATAATTTTTATTCCTCAAAATAAATTCGTATTGGTTCATCTTTCGTTTTTCATTGTGTCCGTTTAGATCGATACACTTAAGGAAGTGACTCGTAATGAATCGAATCAGTCAGAATTTTGATACGCATTCGTTTTGGGCCTTTTTTGATAGGGATTGAAAAGTAAGTTGAATTGTATCATTTTAAATATGTATCATTCCACATATTCGCAGTATATACAAACCGTCCAGTTAGTTAAAATGGCGTTTAGCTGTAAAGTTGACCACTGGAGAACGACGTGGGAATAGTGGTCTGTCATAAGACCAATGGGAAGCGTGGAGTTCAAGATCCCCATAACCACTGAACTAATCACTACTTTGGTCGTTTGCTGGTTAGAATGAAGGAGAGTACCTTTGAAATCGGTAAAAATTAGGGTTTGAACAATTAAGTTATGAAACTGTTGGCGGAGAATTGATTATTCATATGGAACCATTCTTCTCGCACTGAAAGAAACATCCTCGCTCTCTTGAGTAGGTTGGGTTCACAACTTCTGCTCCTAGATAATTTACAAACAACAACACTGTGAAATTTGCAAATATTTTAATAATGCGTGTTGGTGATAATAATAAGAATACAATAATAGTAATAATATTAATGGCAACGTGACGGATAAAAATACAAACTGACAATACAGAACTCACAGAGCACTATTCGCGTAAAGAAACATATATAGCATTATAAAACACAAAACAACATTCACATTGCATCGATAATGGATTGACTAAATAAGTTATGAAAGACTACGTCCGAGAGTTTTACTTTCGAGACTGGTGGTCGATTTACCGCAGTGGACTCTCAATTTCGATTTTTTTCCGAAGGGAAGAGATCGTTGTCGTTCGAAATTCAACTGGAAAACTGACGTTACGACAAAATGGACTAGAATCATGAGAGGCAATCGCAGCAAAACGAACATCGGTGTCATGTATCATGCGTCGAGAGTGAGACGGAAAATGTGAGCCTCCATTTCATGTATCTTTTTGAGAACTCTTTGCAAGTGATTGGTTCAAACCACATGCCAAAGCACATTGATTCGGATAGGAACACAGTTTAAAATAAATATATGATATTAGTTGATGTGTTGGTCTAGATTTCTACAACATGGCACTTCATTTTTATTGCTTCCGTTTGAGGTATTATTATATGTTGTATTTCAAAGTCAACAGTTATAATCGTATAGAAATTGTTGAGCCTACTGTGTTGGTAATGTTTAATGACATCTGTCAGAAACAGAAAAGAGCTCCTTGCTCAGCAGCCGTTTAGAATTTTCTGTAATAGAATTCACATCTGTTTAAAATGAAAAGAGCTGAATAAAGTTAATTGAAGCTCTTAATGAAAATTTCAATGCTTACCCGAGCATCTTTCTTCTTCTTAAGTGAGTCAAAGATGCTTCGTTATAAATTATTGACGCATGGAAACAGGCTTAAAGTTCACAAATGTTCCAAGCATTCGCTAGTGAACCATTAGCGATCTCACTTCACGATGGGAGAAAATAAATCGAATAACATGCAAACAAATAACACAACAATATTTCGTTAATTCAGTCCACAAATTCCTCGACCACCAAATCAAAAAAAAAGATGTAAACCATCGATGCACTGTAAATGAAACAAAATGATATTATTCTATTCAAAGGATAAATAAAATAGTGACATGAGATCAACGGTACAATTCGTCGAAAGATAGTGGGGCAACAGAAAGATTACTTTCAATGAACGAACAATACAATGAAAGAAAACAACTCTTCCTAACAATCACAAACCAAGTAATTTCGTAATCATCCATCAACTTCACAATTTTTGTTCTCTCTCAACCAACTGAGCCTTAATGGATCAATTCAGTGCTTCAGCTTGCAGTTTTTTCGGGACGGCATGAAGTGAAATGAATCGCTTCGTTACAAAAATCGTGATGGGAATTAAATCACTGAGGTGTGGATTGAATTGGTCACTTGAAAGAAACAATTTCATGCAACGGATACCGAACACAACGACGAGTTATCAGCTTCACGATCCGTATAATCCCAGTTTTCAATTTTATGACCAAAAAAAAGGTTTTGAGGTTATTCTATCAGATGAGGCTTGTGACGTTCGAAAGGTTAATATGGCGTCTTATGAACAATGAAAAAACTGACGAACAAAACTAATTACATTGACTAAAATGAACACAAATCGAATAATACCACAGGGTTATGGCCAAAAAATAATACTATACGAAATAAATAAGTCAGTCGATCGTCACTGATGAATATCAGACAATTGTTGAACCAATTTTGCAATTCTCATAATGTGTAGAAATTATTGAATTGGAAGATGAAATTGTGCTGGCATAGTCCAAAGAAAACAAATGATCATTTCTCTCGATTACTACTCAAACATCATACTGAACTCAATCAAATGAACAAAAAGACCTGATAACAATTGAAACAACGATTAAAAAAATAGCTCACTCGGGCACGAGTACTGATATATGAAACTAACGATGACATTTATGTGTGTACAAATCAAATTTAAACCTATTACATAAACTATTTTTGAAAATTTAGCATTCAATTTAGGTGATACATGGAACGATGAAAGGAAATGGCTATCAAAGTGAAGTGAATACGAAGAAACACATCATAGGCAAACAATCTTCCCAATACGTCATTTCCCTGTATTCTTTGGTTACCGTTTGCTCAAACAAAAATTGAACAGCAAGTTGAATCAGCTCTATCGCACACGAAATCATATGAAATTTGCCATATTATTGCATGCATACTATAAAAGCGACTGTTTTAGCGACTATAAAATTATCAAACTGTTGCCGATATTAGACAAGAACCAATTTTTCCGGTACAAACCTATCTGTGACAAATCGTTTTTGGAAAGTAACGCAAAATTGTTAGTTCTATCATTTCCGTTACCAGCTGATATAATGCTACGAATGTTCAACGTCTTAAAAAAACCGTTGAAAAGATAAACGTTATTATGGGAAGACAATTCGCGTACTATGCATTCATCGTTGGAAGACGTAAAGCAGCGTGCTCGATTTCGTAGTACTTCATCAACAATTAACGATAATGGCAACTGCATATCTCATCGCTGAATAATTATCAGAATATAACAAATTTTCATTATTCGATGTAAAAAGTCATTGCAATGACGCCATCATTTTTGACAGGAACCCTTCAAAATTGATTCAATGTAGTTTTTCTTGATGCAGTTGCGTAGCTCGAAACTTCCAAGAGCCGAAAGTATATTTGGCCCATTCAGTGATAACGAATGAATGTTTATGTCTACTGATCATTGAAATTATTCATACAATTAATTGGTGAATCCGAAGAGGTTGAATGAAATCAAATGGTTGAGTCGCTAAGCATTGCTTTAACGGTTTTGAGTTGCTCACAAGCTTCTTCCCTGAATCTTGTCACCGATGAGTTGATTCCCGTCTGTAACTGAACCAATGTATAAATACTGTTCAGTGCCATTTCAAGTTGCTTTTCCAAACGCCCCACTCGTGTGTCCAATCCTGTCAACAACTGAAACAAACACTGATTACCACCTAACATGATGACAATAATCGAGATTTTTTTCATTCCAATAACCCGATTTGCGAATGAAATGCACTCTTATAATAAAATGAAGAAATTGTGACGGAACAACTGTTTTAGCATATCAGTGGATCTCAACATCCCTCAACAGTTACAGAACATTTTGCTGCGCGAAAAGTCATTCTTTTATTTTTAGTCATCTATTCTTGATGTCATCATCTATTGATGTCATCATTTTTAGTGCTTCTTGATCTCCCGTAGAGACCATGGACTTGTTACTACAAATACTTTTCATTTTGTTTGACAATCTGTTCTCAAATACTTACTCTGTACACCCTTTCGAGCAGGAAACTTTCAAGTGCTTCTGAAGCAGTTTCAAGTTATACTTACATGCTACTAACTGTAGCGATATTAATACCATTGAAAATTTCCATTAGTGCTATTCTCATGAAATCAAATGGAATAATAAAGGCTCATTAATCTCTTCTTTAATGATTCAAATTGCTCCTTCAGCTAGGATCGACAAAGCATTACGGTTATAATTGAACATTTCATTGCGTACTGGATGTATAGTTCAGCAAAATCGCTAGGAAAAGTAACCACAATACGCATACAAACATCATTAATGCATATCACATACATAATAACGTGCCACCTGCACACTCTTCACATCCAATTAACACAATCCCAACAGACAAATTAATCCATTCCCTCTTCTAACTACTTTCCATATATTACCCCACTTATCGTTCATCATATTACAACCATGTTAACACCTCAGGCGTTGTGTGCATGCAATGCGCATGACTCATAAGATGCCATTTTGATGTGTGCAAACTGATGGACTCTTTTGCAAATATGACTGATCAACGAATTTACTGCGAAGATAAGCACTGAAACACTAGAGTGGAATCACTAACTGGTGTGTTCGGTCCTCTAAAAGTAAGATGTGAAGATGACACTCTTAAGATTTTCTAGTATGATTCATCTTGTAGGAGAAATCGTATAATCAGAAAATATAGTCACTGTGAGCATGTGAAACATCACACCATTCTAGCATGAATGCACTCAAAGCTGATTATGCTGAATGCATATAACTACATATCTTTATGCCAAATGCACTCAGCGTCAACGTGAATCTTAGTATAATTCTATAATAAATTTCATAAACATTTTGATCCAGCACACTAATCCTATACATATCTCTCATGCGTATCGACATCACGATAAGCAATTTCTCAAATAACACTATTATGTGCGAGTGATACATTGATTTGTAATTAATGCACGAATAATGAGTGACCGACCTGCTCAACTCTGGTCGTACTCTGTGCAGATCTCAGTTCACCAATCATCGACTTTATTTGCCTCAATTCATGCTGAACCGGTGCTGATGAAGCGTCGTTATTACAGCTCACTGGTCCAATTGAAGCACCACAATCAGAGCTCTTCTCAGCTTGGTCATCTGATGAAGCTGAACTACCGGGAGGTGGAAAGCCATGGTTCAGTGTCATATGTACTTGCAATGAAGATCCTGAAATCAGTTTATAGGTTGAATGCAGTCAAAACAANTTTTCTCATTAAGGAATTTGTATGTTTATGATGATTCATCCATAAGTACTACTTTAATGGTGTCTTCGTGTGAAATATACTGCCTTCATGTGAAATATATTGCCTCCATTCCGAATTCAACACTTACAATTATCATGAAAAATTGCTATTTTTATTCAAGACAATGTATTCATATTTCTGTATTTCTGAACTGTGATCAGCAGAAGTGCAGAGTAAACGCATAAGTTACCGTAAGTTTGTTTCAATCTCAACGGAACAGACACAATCTCTCACGAAAGTGAACAGATGACTATAAGTGCTGGGCTAGCATGCTATCCGTAATATAAACAACACTATTCATTCTAAAACTGTCGTCAAATCTCGAGAGATTAAATGAAGCAAATTTCGATTATTAAACACCACTTGGTTTGTGTAGTGTGCACAGTGAAATTGACGAGTCCAGGAGACTGACAAATACTAATGTCATTTGAGTCAGTTGCTATTATCCAAAGCCGCAAGAGATTGTTTAGATAATTCGATAAGTTCATGTGTGTGTTATCCACTACAAACCACAACTAACTGTAAAAGCAAACGTTTGTGTGCACATTTATTGACAATTTTATGCAGCAGTTTAATCAAATCTTGAATTTTGCAGTTGGAAACTTCAGAATAAAATGTTCAAAGTGGCGGAAAGTATGGTCTGATACTGACATGTTGCCTCATCAATTTCGAACGAAGGCTATCGAAAGTTTCGTTTTCCAAATCAGAAAAGTACCAGAAAAAAAGATTGTGAAATTTTGGAAGTACACTGTATGGATGAAAGTGGATTTGTTTGTGATATATGGTGACAGAGGAATGAGTCATAAAGATTTCGATAACGAATCCAACAATTGTACTCTTTCCGATTGACTTGATAGTGCGATTATATGATACAATGTCGCAAAACATTTTATGCAATTTCTACGGTAGAATTTTATTTGTGTTGATTGCGATTGTGAATCTAATGAGATGAATTTGAATAGAGCGAGTTGAATTTAGAAATTTGATTCATTCCACATATGATCACCTTCATTAGGGGCTGATTACAACAAAATATCATTCATCATGAAAATTAAACGAGTAAACAAAATTACAACTTAGCTCAAGTAGAACTCAATTAATCATTCTTTGAGGTGAATTTAGTTGGATCTGAATTGTATCAAATTGAACGAATGAGATCATACTTCATTGAGTACACTTAGAAAAGATGAGTGATTTTTATGAATGCGTTAGGAAGAAATGGATTATGGCTCAAGCTCAGTAAAAATATGCACGGTTAGATTTTGGAGTATAGTGTCTGTGTTGTCATCGAATAAATGCTTAGCGAAAAAAAATGTCGTTCTGGAATTTACTTTGCTGATCTAAAATCATTCACATGGAATGAATGTTTCGAAAGTATGAAATATCAACTGACAAGCAATTAATTATGCTTGAAAAGCCACAAAATAAGGAAAAGACTGTTTACAAAATTAGCGTTGGTGAAAAGAGCGAAATCAGATAAATGCAACGAACCTTTTCGAAAATGTTTTCCGCACTCAGGACATTGTGTTTTAGAAGTGACATGAGCGACCAGAGCCGATAAGTGATCATTCGTGGTCGTGTTGTTCAAATGCATCGGTGATGCACCACTTCCTTCGCTCTCCATATCGCCTCCTTGATTATCGATCAGAAGTTCACTGCTTCGTTCCTCTGAAAATGTCATTCACTACAAAAACAAATCCACGGTTAAATTTCATACTGATTTATATGAACGAATGATACATTCAGAAAAGTAGCAGCGGCTAGAATTCGTTAAGAAAACTTCGATTTACTCATATTGAAAGAGCGTTGAAAATGTCAAAAACGCCATGTTTTTGAGCGATCAATGATTTCATTTGAGATAAATTAGAGACGGAAATGCTTATTTATTGTGTGCCAATGGATTTTGGTATTGAAGACGGATGTGAAGCATTTGTTAACGATGTGAAGCATTTTCTATGACAGGGATTATTTTCTCCATCGTATCAATGACAGCAATAAATGATCGCAGTTCATGTCACTCTTATTTATCACGAAGTTCATTCAGACAATACAATGAATTTCAAAATTTTTTCGCCACGAGCACGCATTTAGTTCCGCTGGGACGACAAACAGATGTGTTGCAAACGATATGTTAATGAGGGCTTTGAATTGTTATTTTACATCCTGAACAGAGAGGAAAAGGGAGCTCAATAATATGCAAATTATGATCCGAATTTAGAGCATTCATCTGATCAAAATACAGAAATTTAAAAATGGAGCAGATGTTGAATCTTTCAAAAGGGAAATAGCTTGCTTGTGTCTAGGATAGTCAACTATCGGAAAATCAAATTTCTTATAAAATGTTTCAGTTTTGTTTATCACAGATAACCAAAGTGCATAGTAGTCCAAAAGTTTTAAGACTGTCGAATCGTTTGAAACTTTCCTCGTTTATGAGGCGCATGGTGGTAGTAGATGACTCAGAACGGTATTTATTATTGTTGACAAAAAATATATCACCTGCGCGGTCAGAAATAATACATTAATATTCGACGTTTCGGCTTTATGCCACCTTCAGGAACATCATTTGAATCACTGATGGCTACGTCGAGCTGGTGGTGCAGGGATCATGGGTCAGGGATTATGGTGGGTAGGGTAGGAGATTATAGGAAGGTTAATGGTTAGGAATCAGGTTGTAACTATTATCGCTTCCCCATAACTATTTCACATATCTACAACCTTCTTGTACTCATCACTGTATTCCTTATCATTAGTCATTATTATCTTTCACAACGTCATTTATCATCACCTAATTCCTAACCATTAAACTTCCTACCCAGATATCGTAAACTCCTACCCAACCCTCCATAATCACTGACCCTTGATCCTTGCATCAAAAGCTCGACATGGCCATCAGTGATTCAAATGATGTTCCTGAAGACGGCGTAAAGCCGAAACGTCGAACATCAATGTCTTATTTCTGACTGCGCAGGTGATATATTACCGATTGTCGAATCAGCTATTGAAATCTGAACTTCATGAAGACGGAGGATTCCTTGCGCAGATATCATTAACCGTGCGGAAAATAAGGATACCAAGGAAGGAAGAATGTGATATGTTCACCCAGACAAACTAATAATGAATTGTAACTGCTGATTAAGGAGATAAATAAAATAAATTTCATCTTCAATAAAGCGCTTTCAATTCAGCAGATCATTAATTATTCGATCACGAAGCATATTAATGTAGGCTGATCCTACAAAACGTTGTGTCATAATCACCTTCATATTATCTTTGCATTTTTTTCACAACAGCATGAGTAAAAGCGTACAGTGCCCAATTTCTCAGACTTTTATTGGATTTAATACCGAATAGTGAAGTATACAGTGTGGTCATTGGAATAAATATAAATAAAGGGAACATTCTAATGGAACATTTTTTTGAAGTAGACGGAGATAAACAAGTGTGTAGCGACGAAAACAGGTAATGATTTGTTATTTCATTACATGAATGACATTTTCATACTCATTTGCAAAGAACGGTCACATGCATTGTGGTGTACTGTAGACATGTGAAACGCGTACTTTCCATGTACAATTGATAACGTTTGTGAAAGTTTCAATAGTTAAGGTTACTGTAGTTCAACTAGCCCTTGTATACATTCTCATCGCCCCGTAGGTGTGTTGACGCTCGCTGGAGCCGCCTAATCGATGTTTTACTCACCACGCCTAGTGAGGAAGTCCTGTTTCTACACAATACCGTATACGTTTTTCGTTTGTATAGATACTGTATAGACTAGAGAGCATTCACAACGTTAATGTACTATTGAACATTCCTTCATCAAATAATTCTGTTTCGTTTCGGAAGCGTAACACAAATGTTATATGATAATGCACTGTTGAGAGAAGTTTGTGCTGGACGGTCCCCACGTTGAAGTGATTATTCATTCATTCACAATCAGTGAATAGAGAATGAGAACGATGCGGTCGGTAGCATTCAATAATCAAATGTATTCATAAGAGTGTGTTGTGTGCTTGGTTCTATGCTGTTGTATGTGCTTTACGTATTCTCGTACATTAGAGTGCATTGTTGTGTTCTGTTGTGCTTCTATTCTGTTCAAGCAGCAATATATTTATTGATTTCGGATACTGTCATTATTGCCTTACTCTTTCTTGTGCAATGCTTGTCCTATACACAATACTCAAACACATACAACAAGATGCACTCTTTTCACTGGTATACTGTAATGGTGATGTACCACTCAAACAACCATCAGTGGAAATGAAATTTGAAACGGACTGCTGCAGTTTAGCGATGAAGTATTGTGAGGATACAAAACATGAGTCATGCGTACACAAACATTTTGTCATTTCATTGCAATATCCCATAAAGACTATTCGGTGATGTCCTTGGATACACACACACATATTAATAAATAAAAATATACATATATATTCATGTTACGTGTATTGAGATTATGTACGTACCCCTTTATATGCATAAACAGTGAGATTGTGACGCTTCAAAAACTTGCGCTCACTGAATTTTAAACGTAACCGATCAAAAAGGTTTTTGCTAAGTCGATAATGTGATGTTACGAATTTGAACGTGAGCAAAGAAGTGATGTGTTCGTGGATATTTCACAGAAAGCTTCGAATTATCCACTGATAAATGACAGATTAAAGTGTATGGTATGGTTGAGTGCGATGGTTTTGAAGCAGGGTTCGTGACATTTCAGAGAATGCAAAATGAAACTGCACTTTTAAGGGNTAGCAGCATATGGCAGGTTGATCTGACGAGCTAACGTCAGCCTCATTAGTTATATGATTCATTCTATCTGCTGTACGCAAATAAGTAATGCTTTTGTGATCAGTCGACCGACCTCTCACTAGCTAACGTTGATACTCTATTCGCATAAGTTGTTTTCGTCTAATGAACAGGCAAGCAGTAATCAAGCGCTAAACTACGTCTCATCAAGGCTTGCCAAATGGTTTCCTGTCGTATAGATAGGCTGCTGATGGATGTTTGTGCATGGAAGCGTCTACAATTCGAATATACACTAAACCAGATCCATTTTGTGAAGCTTTCACACAATCTACACATAATCATTCAAATCAACGAGTACGCACAAAATTACAGCCCTGAAAGCCTGGCTTGACTTCCTTCTCACAATTCTGCAAGCTACTCTGTAACTTCAGTAAACAGATCATCGATCTAATAACTGCGATGAAATCCCTTAATGTAACCTTATATATTCTCGTACGTAAACAATCATTAGTGGTAATTTTACATGGAGTGATGTGTGTTCATTATATGTTTATTTGTTTATCCGATTGCTTTGATCATCCAAATATATTGCGTCACAATGGCGGCTGGCTGCATTCTTTTATGCATGTCTCTCTCACATATCCGATAAAGTGCGCTAGAATATCGTGCACGAAATACGGGTCCATAGCAGGACATCAGACGTGAACGAAAATTGCAGTAGATGAAGTGAAGGTTGATGATTGTGTCAACTTGCGATTTGCTGCATTTTATGAGCGAAGAAAAGGATAACTAATGATGTGTCAATAGGATAAAAACTTCACCGTTAATTCGATTCGATGACACAATGTAACCAAACGGACTCTCACTTGAGGGCTCTGAGTAGTTCTTCGAATGGCTTATAATTCAATTCGGACACTAAACACAATCAATTAGCAACAAGTGTAGATGCTGAACCGTCCGGTGATGTGAATGACTGTAAACATTGCTTTGTCCCATTGCAATGAATGACCGATGGATGGAAGTAAGTTGCTCGTCCCCACTAACATTCAGCTATTTCATGTCACACTCTCACGGATGAAAGGTGATGAACAGGGTAAATGAAGCTTAGTGTAGGCCGTTATTGAACTGAGATAAACAGTAACAGTGCTTTATATCCCTAGTTTTCACAGCACATACGCATGCTGGCGGCTTTCACTAGCTTCTTCTAACTAATAAACATGCATATTGATTTTGTATACTGTCAACTGGAGTCAGAGCTTTATAGTGTCGTTACCGCTGCGCTGCCTAGGTTATCGAAATACATACTAAACAGCTAACAGCCTGTGTGTGACCATACTTCCTAATTGGACTCATTTCATCGAGCATCAATCAGACATACCAGCATTTGTGCAACCTATTCTTTTGACAGATGTACACAACCCTATAAGCTCTAAGTTATATCAACTTCTACTACGCTTACTTCATTCTAAAAGTAGCTACATATACGCTTTTTGTGTGTGTATGTGTCTTATAATCAAAATGAGTAATGACTGTCAGTGCAGTATTCACCGTAATACCGATACTAATCTCTATGAGTGCAATAAAAATATCTTCAAAACAATTTCCAACAAAAAATTTTGAAAATTCGATCAATTCGAACTTGCTTAGGATAGACCACATTATACTACACATGTAAAGAAACAAAACTTTAAGAACGGAATCACACCATTTAAGTTGCCTACAACAAATAGGTGCGCATAAAAAGTACGCTTACTTCAACTTAAAATAAGCAATATTCATCGACAGTTTTCAGACTTTAGCTAATCAAATAAATTGGACCATCTGAAAGATTGCATTCAATTTTCTACTGAATCAATCTCTCCTTACTTCATGTGAATCAAATCAAGCACACTTCGATAATAACGAAAAAATTGTTCATCGGTTGTAAGTGTAATCAGCACAGTATGCGGACAATTTTTAAGGCAACTTCAAAGAAAAATTCGGAGAAAATTACGCGCGATTTCATTCCATCAAGCTCTATAAGAGGTGGCATGAAAGAATTAGTTATGTGGTAACTTAGAGGTTTTAGAAGAGGACTCAACACTATCAACTGTGATTGGAAAATCAAGCTTTCAGCAATATGCTGCAATTGAATTTTGGCAACATGATCATGAAATACGGGCAGAGAAATCGAATATGTTGAAGAATTCGATCAATTTCTTCATTTAATGCACTTATTGATGTCTCAAGCAAATCCATTTTCATGACAGTGATTCACCAGCAACGTTAATGCATCATCACATCTCGAAACAGCTCTTTTGTTCATCCTTTTGTTGTTTCAATCATTCTTAGAACAAAAAGCATCGCTTCGATCCAACTACTAAATCAATTAACGAAACAATGCAAATGCCTCATGACATTAATCGATATCGCTACCTTAAAACCACACAGCTCTCATGTTTCGTGATGCAATCTGTTAAGGAGGCCGTCTCCATGCTTTCACAATAACTACTTGATGAAGGATCAAATTATATGCCGAAAAAAATACATTTGATTTTAAAAAATCAGAGACATTTATGCTGATTGTGAGGTATCATTTCGTTGAACTGCAGTTTGAGTATTTCTGTGATACTTAATGATTAGTGAAAGAATTTTGACCGTTTTGTGTAAATCAATACTACCAAGACATTGCAATTAAATTCCGAAGCTGTCAAACGAGTGAGTTGCAATATCAAATGACTCTGAAGTTAGCAGTAACGAAAGAATTCAAACATTACAAAAGCGTAAGCAAATGATGTAGTTATCTCCTCGATCATTAGGGAGACCATCAATCGATTGATTATCCTTTTCAATTGCACCTTTCCATGCAGTCACCGAAAAAATTTTGGTCCCCAAAATGTAACTATAATCCGTGTTAAGCACTATAACCATAAGACAGCATGCACCAGCATAAATGCTACGTTGAAATCATGAAAACGGCCCCTTATCAGAAGTTCAATCGTTCGAGTGGTTTATTTCATTCATAGAATAAATAGATATCACATGACTAGGCTTCCCCACTATAATTTCAAAAGTGTCGTATCGTGATCCATACTTTTCGATTCGAAATATCATAAATGATACAGAATAAAATCGTGTTTTCACTTCA